AAAAAATAAAAATTGTAACTGTTTCTAATAAATGAGAACTAAGAAATGAGACAGAACATTTCAAATCTTAACTCTGTCCCCTACTCTGTGACCTTGAACAAGTTACTTCACTTTCTATGCCTTAGCTTCCTCTTCTGAGACTACAGGATTAAGTGAGAAAATTCATGCAAAGCATTTAGCACAGTGGATGGTACATGGAAAGTTTTCAGTAAACGTTGACTGTTGGTATTAATCACATGCATTATTTCATTTAATCCTCACTACAACCATATGAACTAAACGTTTATCTCCCTTTATAAAGAGATGGAAAAACCTGAGCTTTGAAGAGGTTAAGCAATAAACTCAAGATCAAAGAGCAAAGAAACTCAAAATAAAAAAGTGGTGATGGCAGGATTCTGGTCTATTCTGTAACCTGACTCAAGAGCCTTAACTCTTAAGCACTATACTGTAGCTGTACTGCCTCCTCCTAGGTGCTCTATTGTTGTTGTTACTGAGGTTGTTAATTTGTATTCAAAAACTTATACCTCTAGTTTGACCCAAAACTGACATCCTCGGAATAAAAATTAAAGTATCATTTCTAAAAAAATTTGATTTGCTAAGGGAGAGGCTTGCAAAATTTAGGGCTATAATAGACCTCAATACTAATCTAGTGTTTCTCCTACTTGTAGAGTTTTATAAACAAAAGTCTTCTGTAGAACTCCAACAAAATAAACAGACAAAGCAGAGAGGCTTTAGTTAAAGCAAGAGTGAGGAGCTTGGAACGCCACCCATGCAAATTTAGTCTCAACCTAGGACTCCAAGGACTCCAATCTAAATGCCACTGAGCTAATCCAAAGACCTTGTTTACAAAGAAGAAAAATGACACCCAGTCAGTTTAAGTCATTTTCCAAAGTTACAGTAATACCTCAATTTTAACACTACTTTTGCTGAAATTTATACTAGTGACTTTTCAGAGGACTAGGAGATACATGTTCATCAACTCTCCAGTGTTTTCAACATGATATTTCATATTTAGAAAATTAAAAAAACATACCGTCCAGCCACAAAAAAATAAATAAATAAAAAATATTTTTCATGCTAAAGTACAGAAAGAACGAGATTTTCTAAAAATTATAGGAGGCAAGGAATTTAAAAATTGAGAAACACCAATTCATACAGCCACTGTTTGAATAAACTTATTTTAATTGAGTCTACATACCTTCTTCACGAGTGACATATCCAGTGTCAAATCAAGATAAACACCTTGTTTTGGATGAGTAAAGTCCAGAATGAATAAACTTATTTTAATTCAGTCTACATACCTTCTTCACCAGTGACATATCCAGTGTCAAATCAAGATAAACACCTTGTTTTGGATGAGTAAAGTCCAGAATTTGAAATTTCTTAAGTAAGTGAATAGCTTTCTCCACCTCATATATCTGCCTTGGGTATAAGCGTTTTAAATAGACATCATCCTCAGGTTCATCTTCCATGTAGGGGTATGACTTTATTTTTTCTATCTCATCTTTTTTGTCATCTGATGCTTTTTCTTTGGCACCTTTTTTTGTTTTCTTTGTAGGCCTTAAAAAAGGTAAATTCAAGATCAGTTATATCTAAGTATTCTAAGAGACTTTCATAAAAAGCCAAGGTACAGAAAAAATACCAAAAAATAAAGTTCACTTTAATTCAAAAACATGGATTGCTTTAAAGTTTTTCTAATGCAAAAAATATTAAGTGAAGTTTTGTACTGTTTGCAGTAAGTATGAAGTTGAATAAGGCACTGATGCTGCTCTCTAGAAACTTACAGAAGAGTAGGAGAGACAAACATGCAAACATCAATTTGACATAATGTGGTAAGTACGAGGAGAGCATTATCAGAACCTAAAAGGAAAAGACACTTAACTCAGTCTAGGAGGTTAGGGGAGATGACCCCAAAATCAATTCTTGAAAGATAAGGAAGAGTTAGCCTAGGTATATACTCAAAAGAAGTGAAAACTATGTCCACACAAAATCTTGTACACAAATTTTCACAGAAGCATTATTCATCATAGCATAAAAAGTAGAAACAGCCCAAATATCCATCAACTGATGAATGGACACATAAAATGTGGTATATCCATACAATGGAATATTAATCAGCAATAAAAAGGAATGAAGTACTGATACATGCTACAACATATAAGAACCCTAAAAACATGTTAAGTGAAAGAAGCCAGTCATAAAGACCACATATTGTATTATCGCATTTATACAAAATCAAGAATGGGCAAATCTATAGAGACTGAAAGTAGATTTAGTAGTTGTCGAAGGCTGGGGGAGGGGTTTGCGGGAATGAGGAGTGACTGCTAATGGGCATGAGGTTTGGGG